GTTCGTGCGAGCAGATCAGATTGATTTGAAGAGCATCGACGAGCAGCTCGAGAGGCACTTGAGCCGGGTTTTGACCCTGGACAAGGAGAAGGAGAAGAGGAAGAGTCAGGACGATCTCCTCCTCAGGCCCACCGTCGCTGCCGCGTCCATCTCCGTCGCCGCCGGGAGGCAGAGGCAGGAGTGGGAGATCGATCCATCTAAGCTGATCGTAAAGGGTGTTCTGGCGCGCGGCACGTTTGGGACCGTCCATCGTGGAGTCTACGACGGCCAGGATGTTGCCGGTCAGTCACCACCGCCCTGTCGCTTTTACCTCCACTTGTTCTTGATTAACTTTCAACTTTTTTAAAGTTCCATTCTTTTTACTTTTTGGGTTTCCCTTTTGCCATTTTCTGTGACTTTTTTTTTGCAAGTGTTTCAGTGTAGTTATTGGTGGTGCTCTCCTTTGTTTGTGTGTGAAATAGTTTGTTACCATTTCACTATTTTTTTTTTTAAGTTATAGGCTTATAGTAGCTAACAAGTGTAGCTGTGTGAATCTGGTCGAGCTAATATGACCCAAAAAAAAAAAAAATGTATTTTTGTGCATTAGATTTAATTTAGTAATTTATGGTGAGTGATTAAAATACTACCTGAATTGAAATGTCGGTTCAATACTAATTTATTGGGTGTTAACTCAGCAAAATCTGTAAGATAAAGGAGCTGTGATTTGTTCATTGATTTACTGGTATTTTTGTTTCCATTCTTTCTTGATTTTTGTTTTTGTGGAGATTTGTGGTCTAGCAAAATGAATAGATTCTTATGAAATCCGTGACTTGTGGCACGGGCTTGAATTGGGTTTTTGAGGTGACTGAAAATAACTTGGAGGACTGTTATTTCTCAACTTTCTTGTGATATTCAACCTTTTTTTTTGATATTTTTGAAATTTTTTGATTTATTTCTCAAGAAAGACGACTTTGGTCTTCGTTGTTGTCTAGTTGTTTCAGGCATAGCATGATAGATGTGTGCCTGTAACTGTATAACAATTATAAGGGGATGATATAATAATTATCTAAAGTTCTTGGCGTTCCCTCTATATATATTGTATTACATCGTATTCAGTGATTTATTTTTGTGATGTGCATGAGGCCTCATGTAAGAATCTAGACCCGCTGTAGTTCTTGTTCTCGTATGTACATGTTTATACTTTGTGGCATTTGAGTCAACTTAGCAGTTGTATGGTGAGTCTGTGATGTTGGAATGGATATATTATAGTGATTCAAGAAAGACTCAGCACTCAAGAAGCCACGGAAAATTTTGAGGTTAACCCTGCAAATTATCTAGATTCAGCATCAACGTAAACACGTAGCATTTGTGCTTCCATTTATTCAGGATTTATCATATATTCATATGTGATTTAGTTATTGCACTTCAATACATGAGAAGGGAAAATAAAAGATACATTTGAAAGACAAAATGTTATGGTACATATTTGTTGGCTCTTACCGACGGTTAATTAATGACACAAAACAGAAAGTAAAAGAGGTTGAATGACGAATCAATGTGAGGAATAATATAAGGTACAAATTATATGTTCTTAAGGATATTCTAAAGCGTAATCTGTCTATTACTAAATAATTGTACTAGTTGGTCTATAGTCATCATGATTTGTCAAAATCATGTGCTTCCATTAACAGTTGAATTGCTTCATGTGACCATCAGTTAAACTGCTCGACTGGGGAGAAGAGGGCCACCGATCAGAAGCCGAAATAGCATCTCTAAGAGCAGCTTTTACTCAAGAAGTTGCAGTGTGGCATAAACTCGATCATCCTAATGTGACCAAGGTTGATATTTTCCCTCTATGCTGTCATCTTATTTTCATATTGGCACACTTTGGTGCTCCATGAAAATTATTTATGTATTTCATCTGTTTGTTCATGTTAGAATGTAGGCAATACATTATTATTATTATCAGTAGTGTTTTTTTTTCCCTGAATTTGTTTAATCCAAATTATTTCGATTCGGAAATTTTGTATTCTTAGTTCAGGTCCTCAGGAGCGAAAATATACAGTTTCACACCAATACCTTATAGTAACATTAGCCCTGCTTCAATAAAATAGTTAAATTTTTTGTTTAAAAAAATTCTACTGTAACACTTTTGGGTTCGATACCAGATTCAAAGTCATTTTGGTCTTGTTTCATTTGACGAATATGATTTTTTCTCAAATGTTAAATGTTTTCATCCGAGATTAAGTTATTTGCCCCATCAATTTTGAAGAGTAACGGCCTTACTCTCTTGTTAAGCTGCTATAAGATGCCAAAAATTATTCCATATTTGGTGCAAGCTCTAATTACTGCAGAACCTTCCCATTATTGGACTCTTTAACATTTGTCTAATGGATGCATGTGGTTCAGTTCATAGGTGCTACAATGGGCTCGTCGGGACTCAACATTCAAACCGAAAACGGTCAGATAGGCATGCCGAGTAACATCTGCTGTGTTGTTGTGGAATATCTTCCAGGAGGTGCCTTGAAGTCGTACCTCATTAAGAACAGGCGAAAAAAGCTTGCTTTCAAAATAGTTGTGCAGATGGCACTTGATCTTGCTAGAGGGTACCTATTTTTTTTCCTCCAAATTTGCCCTAAATTCTTTCCCTTTTCTTGATTTCACTCGCCCAATTGATTTCTGGACTTCAAATGAGAGGATTAACAGGAAATTGCTTTATCATTGTAGGCTGAGTTACCTTCATTCTCAGAAGATTGTCCACAGAGATGTTAAGACGGAAAATATGTTGTTAGATAAGAATCGTACGGTTAAAATAGCTGATTTTGGAGTTGCTCGTGTGGAAGCCTCAAATCCAAATGACATGACGGGGGAGACTGGAACCCTCGGTTATATGGCACCCGAGGTATATACTATATAAGCTTTCTACCTCTTTTGAGAGCATATATATTTTTTTTTTTAAAGGGAATATATATTACTCCTTGTTTATATAACTACACTTCTTTACATATGTTGTCACGGTTTTATAAATTTACACCTTCTATTTGTGAAACAAATAGGAAATCCTCCGAAAAGTAATGGAGTTGTTATTTTACTAGTTACTGCATTTGCATGTGAAAACAGAACTACATGTTCTTAACGGCAACCCATACAACCGGTTTTATAAATTGACATCTGCTATTTGTGAGACGGATAGGAAATCCTCCGAAAAGTAATGGAGCTGTTAATTTACTAGTTACTGCATTTTGCATGTGAAAAACAAAACTGCAGGTTCTGAACGGCAATCCATACAACCGAAAATGTGACGTGTACAGTTTTGGCATTTGCTTGTGGGAAATATATTGTTGTGACATGCCCTACCCAGACCTTACTTTCTCCGAGGTGACATCAGCAGTCGTTCGCCAGGTAAACAAAATACAAAATATTTTTTTTCTCCAAATTTCACTTTCTTCCAAGAATATCGAATCTGCCCGGCTTTTATTTTTGTCTCGTTACAATGTTGTCCATAGAACTTGAGGCCAGAAATTCCGAGATGCTGCCCGGGCTCTCTTGCAAACGTGATGAAAAGATGTTGGGACGCGAACCCAGACAAGAGGCCCGAAATGGACGAGGTTGTCAGAATGTTGGAAGCCATCGACACATCGAAGGGCGGTGGAATGATCCCGGTCGATCAGCAGCCGGGCTGTTTTTGTTTCCGCAAGACACGTGGCCCGTGAAAAAAGAAGAATGTAAGAGTTGCCGTCATTTTGTTGTAAGAATGAAATTTGGAAATTGATTGCACAGTGAAAAAAAAAGAAGAAGATTAAACTGCCATTGATCTTGAGCTAGAAATTTGTGTATTATTTGGATTGTGGTGGATATAGGTTGAGATAAAAAAGGCTTTGTGGGATGTAAAGTTGTGTTCTTTTTTGGTGTCTTAGTTAGAAATTTCCCATGAAACTATTGGTTTATTGAAAATACAGTGAGGTTGTTGTTAGACAGGTCTAACGATTATGCAACTATATTTTATATTTTTCACCAAATATACGTATTTTCAAATTGAAACGTCATACCCAAAAAAATATGATTTTTTTTAGTTTAAGTATGCATTTTCGTTAAAAAAATATTCTCATGGAAGATTCTTGTGTGATTTAAATAAAAGTTTGAATGATTACAAGAACAAATTAAGAAATCTATGATTTTTAACTGCATTCTTCAAGTTAAGTTGCACCAAACTAATGAAACACAAGCCACCATAATATGAAAGAGATAAACAAAGTATGGTGGCCAATCAAAATCAAAGCAGCATTTGCATAATTTTATCTAACCCATATTATGTGACAGTACAAAGCTGTAAACTTGTGTCTAGACTCTAGATTATAAGACTTCTACATAAAATTATCGTCGTTCGATCTCAATCACACGCGTGAAGCCGGCTGGAGTTCAGTCTCTGTTTGGCGTGCCGGATTTTCTTGCTCGTTCCAGTTGGTGGATTTGTAGTAGGTCGCATATAGGATCAATTGCACTAATCCCGAAAGGCAACCCAAAGCATTTGGAACCTATAAAGTAAGCGGGAAACATGTGAGCAACAAAACTTGTTTAGAAATGCTCTAAAAAAAAAGTTGCAAAAAGGAAATGGTATATGGTTTTAAGAATTTACCAAGACGTACGGATCGAACTTGATGAGCGCGTAAAAGAACCACACGGTGCCATTAGCAAAGTTGGCTAGTGACAGATAAAATGGCATGAATTTAACACTCTTGGTAGTTACGACTCGTTTCTGCAGAAAAAAATTGCCGTAAGTTCTTGATCAAAGGTTAAATCGAAGTAAAAAAGAAAATCACAACTATGAAGTACTTAAAATTACCATAATCGTCAAGGGTGACGTGTACATGGCGATGTTGAACACGATGCTCACTATTCCGACAAGCATCGACCTTGCCTTGCTCCCATGGAGGCAAAACAAGGTTACGAGGACCACCATAGCCAAGAACACAAATTCAACTAACATGGCTATCAAAATCTTGCTCTGAAAATTTTTAATTTCGACGAGAAAAACAAACATTGCTTAATTTTCACCATGACGAAAAAAAAAAGAAAAAAAGAAAAGTGTTGCATCATTTTTTTATCTTCATTTAAAGGTAAGAAGATGAAAGATTGCAACTTTTTGCATCTCATGAATTAATTGTTTCAAGAACCAAAAAATGGCCACATATACATCACTTTTTTTCCACAAAAAAGGTTGCTATCTTTCATCTTTTTTACCTTCCAAATGAGAAATCCTCTGATTTAGCTATACTAGTATATATATCCAAGAAAAAATGTATGTTATTAAACAGTGTCACTAACGCGTTTGGACCAATCGGGAGAGTAGATTACGAAAAGGGTGACAAAAACGAGTTCAACGAACAAGCCGATGGCATTGATGGTGAGAACAAGAATGCTGTCCGGATGAACAAACGGCATCCCGTAAAAAACCCACATTGAGCAATTGAGCACTGTCACGACATACGGGTCGGGTTTGAAATTCTGAACCGATTTGGCTTTGCATATCTTGTAAAAAGTCGGGCTGCAAATATGCAAACATGTTAGAAACGAACGTTTTGTTTGTGGTTGCGCAAAATTCGTATACTAGAGAGAAAGGACACATTACGCGGGAGAAATGAACAGAAAGAAGGAGATCACATTTCCTGCACAAAAAAAAAAAGGGATGGAAATAAAAAGGATTAAAAAGCTATGAAAAACATAGAATCAAAAGTGCCATATCACAAAATTATCAACCAAAACTGTCATAAATAAGTGTCAAAATAAATTTAGACAAATTGGACTCTGATTATCTGAAGGCTAGCAACACTGATTCCAAATCATCCATACACAATTCAAATTAAATCGTCAAATTCGAAACATATGCACATATACGAAAAACAGATCGCGGTATAGATTTGTTTCGTAAAGAAAAAAAAACGAACCTATGATCCCGACAATGGTTCTTGCTGTATCTGCATCAAGGGCCATTTTCTTACAACCTCAAGCGCTACGAACCGAATACTAAGGGGGAGGATCGTGTTGTCGAATATTAAACGAGGAAGAAAATGTATATCGGAATAAGGGCGATAGCTCTGTCGATCTACGAGTGAGCCGATAAACCATCAACTTTCGCAGTAAGAATGATTTCAAACCGGTTCTCATACAAAACAAAACAAAACAAGAAAATGTCGACCTATTTTCAACAACACTAGCTGTCGTTTTTCGATTTCGTCTACGATCAAAGCTGTGTGAGTTTGAGCTTTGTATGCCACTTATGGTGTCTGATTTTTGGACAAGAAGATGTTTCTCAGATGTACTTAACAACTTATAAGAGATAAAAGTGGGATAAGCTAACAGATGGAACACTATTTAGCTATCAAAATAATTGATGGCTTTTAGTTAAATCACATGTTTAATGCACTTCTTTATGTAGTTTAGTGTATTTGTGTATTAATAGAAACAAATTTTATAATTTTGTTATATGGTCTAATTTTCTATTAATTATTATTATTTTTTTTTATGATAAAAGAAATAAAAAGCCTCTGTTTTTCAGTTTGTTTCCTTATCTCCTGAAAATTTTCCGGTAAAACACACATATTAAACTCTTATGCCTATATTAAGTGGCTCCTCATGCTATCTGCATGATTTGTTTATAAATGTCTTTTTAGTAGCATGACTTTTTATTGAAAAATGTAGTATACATAGGTGACATGGAAAGTATAAAAGACGAGTTTTGGGGTCGTTGATTGTTCGAAGGGTGTTCGTCGGAAAGAATTCGAAACGAATGTAACTTTTGTTATATAGGTGGCATGGAAAGTATAAAGGCCGAGATTAGCGGTCGCTGATCGTTTAAAGGGTGTTCGTCGACACAAATTCAAAATGTCGATAACTTTTGTGCTTGGGTTTGAAATAGCTATTTCCAAAAGTGGAACAACGATTTTGATTGAAATCATTGTGATGAAGTCCAAATTTCACCGGTTGCAACCCGTTTAGGCCTTTTATTATATTAATATTTCGTATTTGCTTCGCTATTTGTTTCCTAGTTCATTTAGGGTTTTGGGGGCTCTATATACATCTCTATAACAATGTTTAGGTGATATTTAGACTTCATATTGTTTTCAATAACATGTATTCTTTTCTTTAGGAGTACATTTTGTCTTCTACGCTTTATCTGTCTAGTTGTTATGTCTCGATTGTTGTCTTGAGGTGATTCGACTTTGTCGGTGACTGCAGTGCGTAATGACATAAAAGTTTATAATCTTGATTGTTGTCCTTGGTTGGTTTGACCTAACCGATTTTTTTTTATCGTTGGATCAACACAACACTTGCATTTGGATTCGCCCCTAGCTCAAAGTATTTGAATCTGTAACATCAAATTGATCTACTAAAATGCATATTACTAGGGAAAATAGCTCTTGCAAACTTCATATTGAGCAACAAAAATTGTCTAGAAAATGAGTTCAAAATAGTTGCGAGTAGATCGGTTAACATCACTATTTAGTTCATCTTATAATGTTCAAGGAGTATTCTAATTGCTTGTTTAGATGATCACCTGCATATAATCATCTCTAATTATAAAATGATTGTTCAATGTATATATGTATGTATATATCCTAATATGTGAGCATGCTTGAATTGTGAATGCAGTCTATACAGTAGCTGAATAAAAATATTAGTAGCAGGCTTATTTGCAGCTGACCCAAGAGACCAATTAGCAGCTCCAAACCCAATATCTACATAAATTTACAATATTCAATAATTATTAAATCATAACTGAAAAATATTGATTCAAATTTTTGAAAGAAAAAAAAAAATGCTCATAACCGGTAGAATTGTTGTTCGAGTCGAGGACTCCGTGTTCAAGCTCTTGCTCCGAAGATGAGAAAAATGCTATAGTTTAGACAGGTCGACTTTATTGAATTTGTAAGTTGTAATAACGTTGAAAAAACACAAATACCAGTAAATTCTGGAGGAGACGAGACGAAGACGAAACTGGCACGTGAAACACATTAAAAACCAATTAGACACACATTTAACCAAAACACCCAAATACCAATCTATATCATAATCTCAATTTAGGTGTTGAGTTACCTATTAAAGATCCCAGTAAGAAACTAGTATTTTATCAAGTAGGCCACAAGAAGATAACATTCTACAGTTTCTTATAAAAAAATCGACGGCACATACAGCTATGAGTAACCGAGTTTATGTGTACTTAGCCTCATTTCTTCTCGGCATTGCTTTCGAGTTCCCTCCTGAGCTGAAGGGAGAAGTCATCATTGACATCATCATCATCCCAGTCATCTTCCCATTGCTGAGTTATTTCTTTTCCTTCTTTGTCATCCCACTCTAGCATAATCACATAAACAAGAAGACACAAAATCAGTAAGAAAAATGCACTAGAAACTAAGCATCATACGAACGACGGTTAAGAGAATAAAGCTTGCACAATTTGACTACACTTCATAAGTTACAAAAATCGGAAGCTTTACGCAGAGCTTATACGGATAAATCACCAAATTCGGCACACATCAAAGAACAGGGAACGATTTTCGATTTCCACACAAAGTCAGACAAAATTCATTCTGCTAACCCTAATTTTCGATCAGTTCGTATATTTTTAAATTAAAACCTCACCTTGATCGATTTCGAACTCCTCGAACTCGTCATCGTCTTCGAAAAGATCGATCTTGGCTCCATCTGTTGCGGGTTTAGGTTTTTCGGTCGCCATCTCAGTCTACAAACACAACAATCCAAAAACCCCCAATAAATTTTTACACAGACGAAGAACAAAATGCACCAAATAATCAATATTCTGCTCAAACCCTAAAGAAACCCTAGCTCCCCGTCGGCATAAACTGAAGCTTCTGAACAATTACGATCACAATTACAGAACAAAAAAAAATAATCGGAATTAAACTTACATGTATTGCCGCGGAGAATAAAGCTTAGAATTAACAAATGGGATTTGTTCGGAGCGAACGTTTTGCTCGTTGCAAACTGGATTATAAACGATGCACTCATCAGCAGATGTGGACCCTAACGACGTCGTTTGTAATGTATTGCGTGCAACTCGTGCCAAATTTTTTCTAACGTCCCCTTAAAGAAACAAAAATATCAATTTGCTCCCCAAACATCGTATCAAATTTTAGGTGAATGACAAATTAATTCTAAATTGTATATGGAGAAAATATGATATTTGTAGTTCACAATTAAGTTCAAGTAGCTTAACATTGGTTAGAGTCGGGAACTGACAAGTTCGAAAATGAAAAGGTCGAAAATCATAAGTAGGATCATGCAACCCAATGGGCTGTCGCGGAGTGACGGTCACGAGTATTGGGATCATTGCAGGAGCAACCCCGAATCGCACTTGGTGGCCACCAAGAGGTGTCGATTGTGCTGGTTGCGTCTGTTTTCGAACTCGTTCGGTAATGTGTTTCTAGGCTTGAAACGCATAGTTGATCAACCCAACACTTATAAATAATCCTAGAATGAAATTATTCGCATACCCTTGGTACTTAACATAAAGATATGTAATTGATAAGAACATAAAATAATTCATGTTTATATTATCTTTATTATTATTTCTTCATTTGTTAGAGAGTTCAAAACACAACTAGTTTTGCTTAAATCTTATGTATTTGAAGTGTCACTGTATACAATATAAAAATAATTGTATCGTGGAGAGGTTTGTATAAAAAAATGTGGGCATTATTCAGTGGTAACTTCGTCCTACGAAGAACTTGTTTCAACATTCACGTGCCTCAACTTTGTTTATTTATTTAAATTTTTCGAGTTTGTTCGAGGTTTATGTTATTGGTTCGTGTTTATACTTTATGTGCGTTTTTTGTTTGTTACATGTTAAATTCGTTCGGCTAAACGGCTAAACCTAATTTCCGATCCAACCCAATTTGCATCATTATATACAGGTTAGGTTCATGCCTTACCCTCCTACCCTTATGTGGTATCTTAAAAAAAAAATATATATGAATAACTAATTTTCGATCAGTTCGTACATTTTTTCAGAAGTTCTTCATGTGCGTTTGTATTTGTTACCTATTAAACAACTTTAGTCATTCGGGCACTCGACTTGTTAGGCTCGAGTTGGCCCAGCACGACTCAACTAGTTAAAGTTATTTTAGGCTCACGGATAGAATTTTTACTTGCTTTTTATTCAGAAAAGTATGTAAAAAATCTATCTTTCGAGCATATAAAACCTTAACATGTCGAGCCAAACTAGCTCATTAACTAATCGAGACGATAAACGAGCTCGAGCATGGTTTGTTTATCCACACATACTCAAACTTTAAAAGCTTGAGTTTCTTCTCGTTAGTTTTAAAATTAATCAAGCTCGGGCTCGTTTATGGACTCAGTTAATTAACAAGTCGAATCAAGCCTAAGCTCGAGTACAAGCCTAAGCTCGTTCTCTGGAACTCACTCATTTACAACTCTGCTTGTGTAAAAAATTTCTTGGTCCTTTTGTCCCCCAGCTTTTCTTGCATTATTTTGCATGGAGAGCTAGGTGCAACCTCAAAGGTGACTGTTTTTAGCTAGTAGTACAAAAACCAACTTGCAACTCGGCCTAATTACGAAAAAGAACTTATTTTCTGAAAAATCGAATTCAGCCCTTGATATTCTCTTTAGTTTATTATATAATCAAGTAAGAGTTTTTGCAATTACTTAGTAATTTCATCATTTAGTACTGACAAGTGAGAACAACATTCAAATGCTATAGCTTAGACAGGTCAACTTTATAGAATTTGTAACATGTAAATGTAATAACAATGAGAAAACCCAAATACCAGTAAATTCTGCAGGAGACGAAGATGAAACAGGCACTTGAAACACATTACAAACCAATTCGACACACATTTAGTCAAAACATCAAAAGATCAGAATTATGGGTCTCTGAACCGACATTGATAGCGTAAACGAAGGCAACAATCCATATCGTAATCTCAATTTACGTAGTGAGGAGATACCTATTAAAGATCCAAACAAGAACTAGTATATAAAGTAGGCCACAGTAAGATAACATTCTATAGTTTCTTATACAAATTTGATAGCAAATACAGCTAAGAGTGACCGAGTTTATGCGGACTAGCCTCATTTATTCTCGGCATTGCTTTCGAGTTCCCTCCTGAGCTGAATGGAGAAGTCATCATTCTGTCATCTTCCCATTCTGAGTTATTTCTTTTCCTTCTTTGTCATCCCACTCTAGCATAATCACATAACACGGCAAGAGAAAATCAGTAAAAATGGACAGGAAAATAAGAAATCATACGAACACAATTAACATATATCGAAGATGCATCAGTCGATTAACATAACAAAAGCCGAAATAGCTTGCATAATTTGACTACACTTCATAAGTTAACAAAAACTGAAGCTTTACGTAAAGCAGCTTATACAGATAAATCACCAAATTGGGCACAAATCAAAGAACAGGGAAAGATTTCCGCAAAAAGTCAGACAAAATTTGTTCGGCTACGAACATTTTTCCAAAAGTAAGAATCTCACCTTGAACTCCTCGTCGTCTTCAAAAATATCGATCTTGGCTAATTCACCACCCTAAGTTTAACCCTAAAAAACATCACTCCACTTATAAAATATGGACTGTTCTCTTGAATTAATTCCTATGAATCAACCATCTTCAGCATCCCTACTTTCACCCCTTGATTTTTTTCATTTCTCGTCAGTGTGTATTTACCCTTTAGTAAGCGGGCAAATTCTTGAGTGAGCTTCTTCCTACATTCAAACTCAATTTTGCACGGACCCGCCTTTGAAGTCTCGTCAACTTCATCCCAAAGAAGTGAGGAGATGTTTTCTTATCGTACGTGCACGCGACATTTATCTCTATATCTTGCATGAATTGAAGTTTTTCATTGTAGGCTTTTTTACCATATGGATACAACTTGACAACTTGATCAAGGGTCATGAACCAATAAGTGTTGGCAAAAGGATATGACAGATCTTCCTCCACCGGGCAAATTTTGTAGGCGCTTTGCACGACTTTGTTAAGATTACAGTAATTTGCAAAGCGCCTACAAAATTTGCCCGGTGGAGTTGGATATGTCATTTCCCTTTGCCAACACTTATTGGTTCATGACCCTTGATCAAATTACCAAATTGTATCCATATGGTAAAGCCTACACTGAAAAATTCAATTTATGCAAGATACAATCGAGATAAATGTCGCGTGCACGTACGATAAGAAAACATCACCTCACTTCTTCTTTGAGATGAAGTTGGCGACGACTTCAAAGGCGAGTCCGTGCAAGATTGAGTATGAGTTTTCATGTAAGAAGAAGCCCACTCAAGAATTTGCCCTATTACTAAAGGGTAAATACACACTGACGAGAAATGAAGAAAATCGAGGGGTGAAAGTAGGGATGCTCAAGATGGTTGATTCGGAGGAAGTCCATATTTCATCAGTGGAGTGATGTTTTTTAGCACATCTTGCCTGAACTGAACGCTTTTTAGCACATGATATAGTTTGATTGCACAAGTGACTCAATTGTCTCTTCTCTCTACCTCACAAGATAGAATTGCCTCTACAATCTACACCATATGCAAGTCCAAGTCCAAGATCTCTTTACATCTGTTTTTCCGAATTGAAAGATAGAAAAATAAAAGAATAATGTAATTAATGAAACACAAAATGGCATTATTATAATTACAATAGTTATAAAACTGACTTTTTGTCTACTTTTTTAATTCTTTCGACAACATCCAGCCTCCATGAGTTTGCAAATCAAAGATTTGCCCTAAATATATATACTGAAACTTGAAATAACAAATAACTAGTTGCATAGACATCGGGCGACTCAGTAACAACTCACAACAACAGCCAATGCAAGAAAGCACTTCAAATTTCCGTCACCTCTATGACTTTAACAATGAAAACATGATGTTTCACTTTACAGAGTCGATTCAACAAAAGGCTCTTCTTCTGCACGGAGTATTGGACATAGACAACCATTCCATTTTGAAGACAGAATTAACAGAAGAATTTATACCAAGTTGAGTCAAGAGTGCTACCTCCTTATACTAATGGTGACACATGTTTGCATGAATTCCTTTAATCCACCAATGAATAACAAAAGAGAAATTGAAGTAGAGTGCAAATGAAGACAATTATACCGAGAAAAGAAAGTGAAAAAATGATATAATCAAAACAAAGACATAAGATTACCTTCTCGAAGTACTCACTATTCCTCGCCAGAATGTTCGAGTTAACGTGCAGATCAAGTATCTTCACATTTCCTATTAGATGAGAAATTATGTTTCTCTCTCTTCTTTAGTGATAAAGAAACCGAGAATCTTGTTTCCAATTAATCATTCATAGCATGGAACATATGAATAACAGGAGATATCAACGAGTGACAAATCAGAAAAAAACACAAGAAACAACATCACACAAATCTCAAGGAATGGAAAATCAGCTCACTATAATCTGAACAACATGAATCAAGTGCGAATAGCTGAAGAAAACGTCTAGGAAAACGAATTCCTTCATCAATTTAACAAAAATCCGCCATTTCCAAACACATCAATGTCTGATACATCCTATTAAAAAAAAAAA